TTTAAGGGTCTTTGAGAGCTATCAGGGCTTCTGGATAGAGTCATTTGGGCCAGACACCTGCTTTCAGCTGTGTGCTCATCTAGGCAGGGCTAAGACAAGAGTAGGAAATTCAGTCCTAAAAACCCAAGAGAAACTGGGTATGGTAATCCATGCCTGTAATCCCAGCACTAAAGAGGCTGAGCCAGGAGGAGCAAGAGGGCCAGCATGGGCTACATAGAAGCATCCTGTGGGGGAGGGGAACATCCTACACAAGGCCTTCCTTTATAGACAAGGAAACAGATTTGGAGAGGTTCATTTATGTCCAGGGCAGCTGGAAATTGGGTTTTCTCCTCTGTTAAATAAGGGGTAAAATTACCCCTGCAAAGATAACCTTGATACTTAAGGGTGCAAGACAGCTTTAGAACCCCACACTACCACTGGCACATAATAGGCGCCCAGTCAGTGGTTCTTACTGTTCTGAACGGGATGATGCCCACAAGAGCTGGTAGCTAGTCAGTGGCACAGACATTGAAACGCAAAGGCTTTCATCTGAAGTGACTAGCCACACAGCAAAACAGCGGCCACAGCGGCGCCATCAACAATGTTAGTGTTTCCCAAAAGGGTTAACCCCAAGGTGGTGTATTGAGTTGTCAGGTGGCTACACCTGCCTGGCACCCAGGGGCAGCTTTCAGCGCAGAGATGGCTAGGGGACACAGGGAGGCAGCCTGCAGGAGGCCCGCGCGCTGTGTGCAGAATCAGCGCGCCTGGAAGACATTACACGGCTGTCGGCCTGGGGGCGGGGGGCGCGTCGCCGGGAGTTCCGGAGGGGGTCCCGGAGGCGGCCGCGCCGGGGAGGGGACAGCCGGCCACAAAGCGTGCTTTGTTCTTCCCTCCCCCCCGGAGCTGGAACCAATGGATTGGCGGCAGCTGAGGTCATCTGCCAGGCAAAGCCGGGGGTCAGGCTCGGGATGGGGCCCCAGGGCAAGAACCTCCAAGGATCCCCATATAGGGCGGAGCCAGCTGGAGCACCCAGACAGGTGGCTGCTTGATTTGGGACTCAGTTTCTGATCTGTGCCATAAGGAAAACCATGTTTGTCCTGCCCACTTCTAGGGCTGGCTGTGGGGCTGGCAAAAGAGGCTGCAACCTTTATCCTATGGAAGGGGGAGAACCTGGAAGTAGGTGTGGTGGGTAAACCCACCATGAAGTCTGGAGGTCTCCCAGATCCCTTCCAGGCCAGGGCAGTCAGAGCCTCTCCAAGAGTTCCCTCTGACCCAGACTCCAGGCCTGACCTGCTGTCTCCAGCATTGGCACCTGAGTCTAGGACCCAGTTGAAGCTTGGTGCTCTAGGATCCAAGGTAGTGTTCGGGGACCACCCAGGAGGCTATCCTAACTGCAGGCTGTTGTGGGAGAGGGCTGAGCATCCTCACCTAGCAGCTGGCAACTAGAGTCCATTCAGTCCCTCATCCCACCTGCACAGGTACCTTTCTCTGAGACATAGCTGTTAGTGTTGGGCACAAAGCCCCTGTCAAGCCCAAAAAGTGCTCAAAGTGTATGTATTTTCTTTTTTAAATATTGTATTTATTTTTAGTTATGTGTATGTTTGTATGTATGTGCATTTGAGTACAGTTGCCCTTGGAGGCCAGAAGAGGACATCAGATTCCCTGGAGTTGGAATTACAGGTGGTTGTGAGCTGCCCAGCTTGGGGAAAGGGCTTATAACTTTCTATCGTTCTCAACCATGATCATGGTCCAAAAAGGGACTGGAATTCGGAAGAAGTGTCCCCAAGCTCTGCCTGGGTAGCATTTGGAACATCTCCTCTGGAAAGTTCACTAATAAGGAGAAACTGGGTAGAAGGCTATGTGTCACCAGGCTCTTCTGTTTCTAGGTGTCCAGTTGATAGAACACCGCAGGGGATGTGGGGATCACAAATCGCACAAGCCGACATTGGACTCCCAAGTGTCCACCAACAGAACGACTTACATTCATACCGGAACACCAGGCAGTGACAAAAAAGAGTGGCCTCCCTCACCTGGGATGCATTTGCTCAACATCTGCCTGATGAACACCTGCTGAGTGCAAGGTACTGCTCTCAGGGCTGGGCTCAGGGTGATAGGTGGGGAAGACCCGCTATGATCTGCATTCTGGTGGGCTGGGAAGGTATCAGTGGAGACCAAAGAGAAATGAAGAAAATAAGATGGCAAGGGAACAACAGATGGGGAGTGGCCTTCAGAAAAAGAGGCCACAGAGCAGACATCCGCCTGAGTGTTCTGGAGGAGTCCAGTTGCCAGTGCAGGCAGTGGCCACTGCCAAGAGACACCAATCTGAAACAGTGTTTTGAAAAAGGTTGGGGTGCTGGAGAGATGGTTCCGTGGTTAAGAGCACTGGCTGCTCTTTCAGAGGATCAGGGTTCAATTCTCAGCACCTTCACAGCAGCTCAAAACTGTTTACATACAGTTCCAGAGGACTGATGCCCTCTTCTAGCCTCCCTGGGCACCAGAGGGTGCCAGGGTACTGGGGCTGGAGAGACGGCTCAGGCATTAGAGTGCTTGCTGTGCAAGCATGCAGACGTGAGTCTGAGTCTCCAAGAAGACATCTAAAAAGCTGGGTGTGGCTGTGTACGCCTATAATCCCAGTGCTGGGAAGATAGAGGCAGAAGATCATTGGAGCTTGCTGGCCAGACGGCCTAGCTGAAAGGGTGTGGTGATATTTTGTGTATGCCATAACAAATAAAGCTTGCCTGAAGATCAGAGTGCAGAGCTCGACACACCAGTTAGCCATAGAGACCAGGGAGTGGTGGCACACACCTTTAATCCCAACAGTTAGGAAACCGAGGCAGACTGATCTCTGTTAACTCAAGACCACCCTGGACTGTGCAAAATTGATCCAGTCTAAATGAGAAACAGCTCACACAAAGGTGATCCTAGCACTTGGGATCACATGCCATTAATCCCAGCACTAGGGAGGTGGAGACAGGAGCGATATGGCTGGGCAGAGAGGACTATAAGGTGGGAGGAGCCAGGAGCTCAGTGCAGTCTGAGTAGTCAGTCTGAGGACAGGATTGCCCCTTTGGTCTGAGCATTGGTACAGGTGAGAACTCTAATGGCTAGCCACTCTGCTTCTCTGATCCTTCAGCTTTCACCCCCTGATAGCTGAGTTTTTTTATTATTAAGAACAATCAGAATTTGTGCTACAAATGGGTGAGCTCCAGTCAGGTTCAGGGAAAGACTCTACTGGGACAGCATTTGAACAATTACATAGTGAGACTTTGTCTCAAAAAGCAAGGGCTGGAGAAATGGCTCAGTCTTTAAATGGCTCTTCCAGAGGATCAGAGTTCAGTTCCTCCCATCCACATGAGGAGGCTTACAATCTCTGCTGACACTAGGTCCTGGGGGATCTGTAGGTACTCACACTCATATGCACACACGGATACACATACATATATTTTAAATAATAAAAAACCCTTAAACAGACAAAAAGCCCAGAGAGTGACTGAGGAAAAAATACCTAACATTGACCTCTGGCCTCACACCACACACACACACACACACACACACCACAAAAATATCTAGACATGCATGAATGTATACAAATTCATTCTACAGTCTGGCAGACTTCAGGAAGGACGTGTGCCAAAACTCACTGCTCTAAGAGGCCAAGGGGACAGCCAAGTCTAGGACCCAGGATGAACTTCAGACTTCTCCTAGTGTTTTAACTGAGAATGTTTAGTTATTTAAGCTTTTAATATTTTTTAGGGCTTTTTGGGACATTCTCATAATGTAGCCCGGCTTACCCTAAACTTGTAATACTCCTACTTTACCCTCCAAGTGCTGGGATTACAAGTACGCATCTTTTAATTAATGTCTAATCTTATTAAAACTGGAAAATTAATCTAAATCTACCATGGAGGGTTGGTTCCAGGGCCTTAAGGATCCTCAAGGACCCCTACACACTGCTGTTTTTGGGGGGCAGAGGAAGAGACACATGATATGAGAATCCAGGAGAAGCTCACCGCCCAGCTTGGATGGGCTCAGAGCTTCTGGGAGGTGCCCCCGCTGTAGAGGAACCCAGCACCCCTAAGGTATAAGTATAGGGCAGGCAGGATGAACAGCACCTGGGGGCCACACCCAGGCTTCATCACAACAATCCTTCCCTCAATCATGTCCTCCAATCCAGTGCCTTCCCCAAGACGCAGCTCTGTTCTAGGGACGTGACAGCAGCGCCACTTGCTGGTAAAGGATGGAAATGCAGCCTAGTGCCAATTGACCTCCACATTGAAGCCCCTCTCTCCCTGTCCTGCCCATTTTTCTCTCTCTGATGGAACCAGTATGCCAGCCAAAGGCTCTACCAAACTACTTTCCCTATGCCTATTTTCATGTGGAGACAGGATTTTACTAAATTGTTCAGGGTGGTCTCGTGCTGCCCACGAGGGTCTTGAACCTGATCTTGTCATCTGATCTCAGCCTCTCCAGTGTGGGGATTACAGATATGGGCCATTCTTGGCTCCCAGCTCTTAAGTGACCCGTGCCTCCACCCTGTCCCTTTGCTCCTCTTGAAGCCTGCTTGTTGGGTTCCTCCAAATGGAGTCTGTACCTGGGGTGCTGACTGTGTGCAGTTACCTCAGCAGGTGCATGAGGATTTCTTCACTGGAGACAGTGGCACCTCAAGATAGTGCTTTGCAAGAACATCTTCTGCTCTCCTGGGCCTGCTCACAAAGTTAGGACTGCAGAGCCCATCTGACGGCTTAGAGAATCATGCACATTTATACCCTCCTGCCAGGAGTGGGAAGTACCTGCTCAAGCTGCCCCAGAGCCTAAGGGCCCAGCACAAGAAGCAAGCTGTGTTACATAGTCCTGGCTGCATTCCCTTTACAGTAGCTGTCCTTGAGAACCTTCTGGAAATGTGTTCCTGGGCCTCCAGCTGTTTCTGAGAACTGTCTAGAAATGCATGTTCCTGGGCCCCAGACCAGAGGCAAGGCCCATCAAATCCAACCAAAAGTATTGGGCTAAAGCCATTATGTTAGTTTTTTTTTTTAATCAAATAAACTTTTATTTTGGAATGACTTTAGATTTACAGAAAAGTTGCAGAGACTAAAGAGTTCACCCAGCCCACCCCAGCAGTTTGATTGCCCAAACTGGAGGATAACTAAAACCCAGACCGAATAAGTTTCTAGTTGACCTGTTAATGCTCCCCCATCCCTTTTTGGTCCCAAGAGTCAACTCAAGTACCATGTTGCATTTTATCCCTTTCAGTTTCATTTGCTGGGACTCTCAGTGGGTGAGAAAGCTGTTGACCTCACTATTGGGAAAACAGAAAATGACAGGTGATAAAGCTTCCTGGGTGCCACCTCACTCTGTGGCTTCCACTGCCTCGCCTCGGCCTCCAGGATGCTGTTTGCGGGAGCCCCTCTGGAAGGCCCCATTGTCCACCCCATCCTTGTGACCCTAGTGAGTCATCCTTGAGGGTGGGGTACCCAGCTCTTGTAGACACCCTGTCACAACTGCGTCTAGGTCCCAAGGTCAGTAACTTAAAGGCTAAGACTTGGCATGGCCCTTTGTGTGAGGAGTGCGTATGTATGCGAGCGAGAGATACTGTCACTTGTCCACCAAGATTCATCTATGCTGAATGAACAATAGCCCCGTGTTTTTTACAGTTCCTCCCATTGAGAGCTGGGGTTCATCTGCACCCCTTGAATCTGAGGAATGAATTCAGCAGCAGTGACATTGTCCCAGCACACAGGCTGAAGAAATCTTGTCACCTTAAAACAAAAACTGTGTATGTGGATGCTTTGCTTGCACGCGTGCATATGTCTGTGCACCATGTGTCTGGTGCCCACAGAGGCCAGAAGATGCCAGGTTATCTGGAACTGGGATTACAGTCGTGAGTTACCATGTAGATACTCTTAGCAGCGAGCCACCACTCCAGGATCTGTCTTGTCACTATTACTCTTATGCTTGGAACTCTGAAGCCACCTTGAGAATAAGCCTGAGCTGACCTGTTAGAGAGGCAACAAGGATGACCAAGCCAATCCATCCAACATATGCCACAAGAATAAGTAAGGTGATCCCAGCCCAGCCAGCCCCAGCTGAAGTGACAGCTGACAGTGGGCTAATGAGCAGGACCACACAATGCCAGAGCAGAGCTGCCCAAGTGCTCACCCACAGAATCGTGGGTAAATGAATACTTTTTTTTTTTTTTTAGCTGTTAAGTTTAGGAATAGCTTGTTATATAGCAATGGCTAACTGATACACACTTCTTCCCCTCCTGCTAAGGAGATCCTAATTTGATTGCAGGAGGCACAGTGCCAGTTCCAAGGGATGAACAAGGCGGTCACACTCAGCTGTGACAGCGTTCCCCTTGCAGCTGTGGGTGGCACTGCTAGCTAGCTCTGACCAAGGAGACTATGCAGATATTCTGAATGAGGCTTTCCTTTCAGATAGAAGTTAGTTCAGTAGGCTTCTTCCTTGAGCACAGACATGATTCCTAGCGATTTTGTGGCCATGAAGTAAGGAGCAATAAGGGCAAGGCCAAAAGGTTACCTAGAGTAGGGCCCACCTTCACAGAGCAGTTGGCACAATACTGTGTGAGTTATCTGTTCCAGGACTCAGACTATGGGGGAAACAAGCCTCCATGGTGCCCTAGGGTTTCCTCTATTTCCTAGTATCTAGTTCATGTAGTGATAGGCTATCATAAAGATGAAAATGGAGGGGGTCCTCGTCTCCATGCCCATCTTTCTCACTTCCTCCTCCTGGTGTGCCTTCAGGATCAAGGCCATGACATCTTTTCACAGACAGGGAGCTGGGGCCCCCTCATTCCTAGGCCTGGGGGGGGGGGCTAGTACAGAGGCACCAAGAGGCAGACCTCTCTCCTTAGGTATAAAGAGAACATATCCCCACTACAGGTTCCGGCCACTGGGGGCCTCGTGTGTCTTCTGGACTCTGGAAGGTAGTGCTGGTGTGCAGGGGGTGGGGTGATCCGGAGGTTTCTACTGCAAGTCTGGCGTGGATGCGCCCAGGTACACTCTCAGGTCTGAAAGGGTGGACTGCACAAGCTTGGCAGGAATGGTCTCTCTCTGGAGCTGCTGGTAGGCGGCATAGCGGTGGCAGCCCCCGAATGAGTAGTAGTAGTCACCACCCTGGGCCCCTTTGATCCAGAGGACATCGATGGGGGGCACTCTGTCAGGGTCCTCCTAGAGAGAAAGGTCACAGTGGGAGTGAGCATGGCACTATGCTTGAGAACTGGCAAAATGTTTTGTGAAGCCAAATGAGTGACTATAAAGGGCTCATGCTGCTAGGAGCAGCAAGCTCTCCGCCACCTAGGGCTTCTGCAAGCTGGCAGGCCTGTGTTGTCTTGGCAGCTTGAAAACCAGCCCCAAGAGTATTTCCAGCAGAGCAATGGCAGATGCTGTAAGTGGGGGGGGGCTTCCCCCAAAGACTAGGTGTGGAGTATTTATCTATAACCATGTGAACGATATACCCTGTGCCCACTTAGTTCACATTTGGGGGACAGCACACCCAGGGGGCAAGGACTGTCTCACCCAGACAGGGTTTCTGTCCCAGGAACAGACTGAAGGAGGAAGTGAATGATGGCATGACAAATGCTATGAAGACAGTCTTAGAGATGACAAGTCAGGAAGGAAGACCATGGGTCTCTCTGAAGTGACAAGGGGTACAGAACCACTTGGGAGGCTACAGAAGCTACAGCTATGGACTAGTTTAGGTTAAGAGCCCAAATGCCTGAACCATGGCTCCTCTGCAGAACAGCCAGGGACCTGTGCCGGGCAGATAGCCGCTATGTTCAACAAGCAGAGCGGTGGGGGAAGTCAGGGAGGGCTCCATGGAGGGGTGGCCCTGGACAGCTGCATTTGGCAGTCCTTGTGTTGAAGTTATGAGAGTGGGTGGCTTCAAGAATGGTCCCTCTAGAGGGCTGAAGAGATAGCTCAGTGGTTAAGAACACTGGCTGCTCACTGTTCCAGAGGTCCAGAGTTCAATTCCAAGCAAACCCATGGAGGCTCACAACCATCTGTAATGAGATCTGGCACTCTCTTCTGACCTGCACATGTGCAGACAGAATACTGTATACACAATAAATACATTTAAAAAAGTTGTCCCTCTGAATGTCCATTTCCTAATCTTTAGGACCTGTGAAACCCACGTTACATAGTGGAAATCTGCTGATAGGAGTGGGCTTTAAGCTCCTGAAATTGATATTGTCCTGGGTTGCCCAGGCAGGCTGAATGTAATCACCAGGTTCTTTGAAAGCAGAAGGCTGTGGCAAATGAGCTCACAGTGACCTGATATGGGAACCACTACCTACTGCTATTTTGAAGATAAGGGAGAGGCCCTCAGGTAAAGGGTTCAGTTGTCAACTTGATGAAATCAGAATCACTTTAGAGGTGTGCCTCTCTGGGCATGCCTCTGGGGGTTTATAGTGGTTAGGTTACCTGGGATGGGATACATCCACTATAGGTGGCATCATTCCCTAAGCTAGGATTCTGTACTGTATAAGAAAAAGTGAGCAATGTACAAGCGGATTTTCATCATTTTGATTGGAGATACAATGTGACCAGTGGCCTCGAGCCCCTGCCATCATGACTTCCCTGATGTGATAGACTGTATCCTGGAACTGTGAGCCAATGTAAACCTTGTCACCCTTAAGTTGCATTTGTCAGGGTATTTTGTCCCTGCAAAGGGAAAAGTAACTGAGACTTCAGGAAATGCATTTTCCCTTAAGACCTCAAGAAAACAGTCCTGCTGGCTCCTTATTTTAGCTCAATAAAACACACTTTGAGCTGGGTCTGGTGGGGGGCACCTGTAAGACCAGCACCCAGGAGACCGAAACAGGTTTCAGACCAGCATAGGTATAGAGATGCTCCCTGCTTTAAAAGCAGCAAAAAATCCCCACCGCTTTGGACTTGTGTCTTCTCATAGAGACACACCCTGATTTAAAGGCAGCAACAAAAAGCAAAACAAAACAAAAAGCCATGTCTGTGACAACATGTTTAGGGGGCCAAGGTAGACAGGTCCTTGTCTCCACAAAAACCTGTGGTTGTTGCATGGGACAGAGGTATCTAAATTAGTCATTTAAACCCATCAGTATCCCAGCTGTACTGGGGGCACCCAGGTAACAGTGAGGTCACAGAAGGCCTAGCCCAACAGGGTGGGCGGGGGGGGGGGGGGGGCACTGACGCCAAGCATTAGAAGCAACAAAGAGATTAAAAACGAGGGCTGTGGGGCATTGGTGGCGCTCCTGCTGAACATGCAATCCTTATGTGCACACAAAAACTAAAGCAATGACAAGGATGGGCTGGGAGCACTTCCTGGGGTGAGGTAAGTCTATGCAAAGGCCCAGCCAGCGGTACTCGGAGAGCACTAGGGCTAAGTCCCCTTCCCACAAACAGCTTGAAGGCAACTGCCAAGGTGGCAAAATCTACTTTTGTGAAATTCACACAGGAAGACAGGGGTACAAATTTTAAGACTAAACATCCTCCGGACTTTAGGAGTTCCAGGGACCACTGCTCAAGAATCTGGGAGAATCTTGACCTGATAGAAATGTCCTAGTTTCAGGGAATTACTCTCCATGACAGACTGATTTTGAGCCCCTCCTACTTCCCTACATACAGGACACACCCAGCCCATTGCCATGGCTATCATGGCCAGATGAGACATTAGAATACCCAGGTTGTCTGGGTGTAAAGTCTCATTGTATCATCTTGTAAGCTCTTGACCTAGGACAAGTTGTTTAAAAAAAAAAAAACAAAACAATCCCCAAGCTTCCCGTGCCTCAGTTTCTCCTCCGTAGGGGAAGAACTGCAGCTACGTCACAGAGCTGATCAGAGAAGCTGAAAATCAGCTCCGCGGCGACCGCAGCACTTTGAATATGTGCGTCACGGATTATTACTTTCATGGTCAAGTCCAAGTGAGCAACCTGAGGCACAGGGAGGCTCCGCCAGCCCGTCAAGGTCACACGGGCGAAGCTGAGCTCCCACAGATCCTGGACCCCGACCCTCGCGCCCTTTTTTTCTTGCCCGGGTCGGTAGGCTCGGCGGGCTCACCAGGATCGTGTCCACGAGGCTCTGCACCTTGGCCGGGTCCAGCACAGATGGCAGCGGCCGGATGAGCACGCTGATTGGCACGTTGTGCACCGCGGAGATGCAGCCCGAATGGATGCTGCCTCCCTGAGCGCCGCCGAGTTCCTGTCCCTCGGGCGCCCCCGACCCGCTGCCCACCCGCCGGAGCTCTCCACCCGCGCGCAGCCCCATACCGCCTCCTTGGTCGCCAGCACCGCCCGCCTGCTTTACCCGGGCGGGCTGTACCAAAGTGCAACAGCGGGGGCGACGGTGCTGTGCTTTCCCGGCCCCAGTGGCTCGGCCCGCAAAGGTAATCGTACCCGCCCCCGCGCCGCCCGACAGGAGCCCGGTGTCCTACGTCGACTTGTCTACCGACGACTGCCTGCTGCGGCGACCCGCCACCCCCTCACGAAGCACGCAGTGGGCGCGTCCGGCCGCTGACTCAGGGTGAGTCTGCAAGTCGCGGAGCAAAGTCGCGAGTGACGCACAGAGTTGACTCAGGCTCTGAGAGGCGAGGACGCGGGCGGTCAGGCCTGCCCAGCAAGAATGAGTTGGCTCTCAGTGGGAGATGGGAACAGTGGCCCCCATATGGTAAAGCAGGAATGTGGTGACCTCACACTTCAGAGCCACCCGGCTAGCTGGGAACAGTGTCAATTCCATTTTACAGAGGAGGAAATTGACACACACACACACACAGAGAGAGAGAGAGAGAGAGAGAGAGAGAGAGAGAGAGAGAGAGAGAGAGAGAGAGAGAGAGAGAGAGAGAGAGAGAGAGAGAGAGAGAGAGAGAGAGAGAGAGAGAGAGAGAGAGAGAGAGAGAGAGAGAGAGAGAGAGAGAGAGAGAGAGAGAGAGAGAGAGAGAGAGAGAGAGTTGAGTTGGAGCTAATGAGTGGGTGAGCTGAGGCCCAAATCCGGGCAGCCTTGCTTCACGGATCTCTCTGGATTCCACCGCGGGCTCCCCTGGGTTCAGCAACAAGAACTAGCCACGGCGCCTTCTGGAGTTGTGCTGATTCTGTGTGGTTCTTCCATGAAATTCCACGGGTCGCATATCTTCCAACTATATCCAGGAAGTAAAAGTGGTTGTGGTTACTGAAGGACCTCCTCAAAGTAGGTCTCCTGCGGGGTTGGGAGAGCGAGGAAAAGAAACCAAAGTCAGGTCACCCGACAGCTCAGCAAGTGTCCGGCAGTAGCTGTGGCCGGTGTCAACCCGAACAGCTTGCACATCCTCTTTCCTGTGGCTTGTACTCCCTGCTAAATGGCGTGTGGTGTCCAACGATGAGTGTCCCTGGAAAGGCTGGGCCTATTCCAGGTCATCCTGGTCGTGGTACAGGATCGACTCCATGACATTCTATTCGGGGAAACTGATACAAACCTTCCCAGGTCCAAGGGAAGGGGCAGTAAGGCTCTGAAAGAACTTGGGGGTTGGAACCTGTGGTAACCGCTGTTAGAAGACAGAGCTGCAGATGGAAGTGACCCCAGTAGGTGCTAGAGAAAGGAGCTGCTGAGGCAGACTCAGTAACCAGGGGGTGTTCCTGCTGAGGACTCTGCATCACCCTGCCCTCTACTCTTTCCTGGTCAAGTGTAGGTGTAGGTGCTGAGTCTAGCCTTACCTGGCTATCCTGCTTTTGAGTGTAGCAGACATCTTAGGGGTCCAGAAGCACACAGCTGTCTGCTTAGGGTGACCTGAGAGGTGATCAAGGGATCACAAAGCTGGCTGGCTGGAGAAGGAAGTGTGAAGTAAATTTCCCAGAAAAATACCCATCTTCTTCGAACATTATAGGCTGATTTACTGATCAAAACTTAGTGATTGTGGAGAGGTTGGGATGTTGCAGGTCCAGAGCCAAATATCCTACACTATCCTTAATTGTCCCCCATCCCCCAAGCTGTTTATTGCCCAGCCTCATGTGACCTAACTTCCTGTGACCATGATGTGAACCCTTTTAGGATACACTGATAGACAACTAGCTTCCACAAACCCAAAAGTTCAGGATGTCACAGCAGGCATCAGAGGTACAGACCAGGCTCTGATGTCATAATTCACTTCCTCTGATGTGTATGTTTTAAGCCATCAGCTAACTTAAAAAATTTTTGTTTATTTTATGTTGGTGTCCTCGGAGGCCAGAAGAGGGCATCAGATCCTTGGGGACTGGAGTTAACAGAAGATTGTGAGCCTCTTGTAGGTGCAGGAATTGAACCTGGCTCCTCTGGAAGAGCAGCCAGTGATCTTAACTGCTGAGCCATCTCTCCAGCCCCTCCATGAATGTATTTTAAGTATGTTCATTTATCTACTTTCTTTGTTCTGCTTCTGCTAATAATTATTAAAACTGTTATTATGCTGGAACATGGACTTTGGGGTGACCTAAATGCTCTTACCCCTTGGAGGTGAGAGCTGTGTTTTTTATGCTGCCATAGGCTCTTGCTCCCTGATTCCTTCTATTCCCTGCCCCCCCCCCAGCTGATGGACTTGGAGGTGATGTGAACAAAGAATCCTGCTCATGAAACATTTGGGCATACGGGTGACTTTCCCCGAGTGTTTGCAAGGTAAAAGACTTATGGGACCCTTCACTTTGAAGCCCCTCCCCAACCTGCTTGGCCATTTCTCCAGCATAGGCTTCCCATGTTGTTTGTCTCCCCTCGGTCCTACTAGCCTCTTGGTTCCCATCTTATTTCACATAGAAGGGTACCTCATTCTTTGGGGGTGCAGAGGCAGCTTTGCACTCTATCTGCTTCTCCTCACAGTCTCAAGTTAGCTGCCATTGTGACGTCGGACTCACCTTTGTTCACACCCAGGAGAGAGAGAGGGAGAGACTACACCAGCAGAGGTGACATCAAGTGCTTTCTCTAGTCAGTCTGATTGGGCTAGCTTGAGTCACCCAGAATGACTGGCCTTCTCCAGGGATATGCCATGTACTGAGCTGTTTAAGCATGGTGTCTGTCACCAAGGGGAATGACTGGGATGAATTTAGAGGAGACAATCAGCCACCCTCCTAGGGTACAGCCTCTTCTGAGTCACCTGTATGTGGGTGAATATGAGGCTAGTGGGTGAGAGATGGATGTCGACAAGAGAAAGATGAGGCAGAGGCCTGGGTATGGGTGCCCTGTTCCGCTAGTCCCCTCTGATGATAGCTGCAATTGTGCCAGAAAGTTTTGCAGCAGATGACTCACCCAGCACCACCAGCCCTTAACCCAGGTGCCCTGAGCTCCCACATTCATCTCTGCCCACACATAGCACATGACAGTGATGCTACTTACTGTGGGAGTAGAACACGCCAACCTTCCACACAGGTTGGCAATGTTGATCATTTGGATCTTTCTGAACTGTTCTCTGAGATCAGTGGTAAGTGGCCTGTTGCTCTAGCAGGGGCTTCACGGACACCCCTGACTCATTCTTCCTGCTGCTCACGGCCCCCCACTTAGCTTGCACAAGGGCCTAGAGCCTGACTCTGTCAGTGGGAAACTAGAACTTCAGCTAAGAGGACCATACATTGTCATACCCTGTAATTTACAACCCACCTGGCTTAAAGTTACACAATATGAGATGTGTGGTCTGGAGGCAGCCAACATTTGTGCCTCAGTTTCTTAATCTGAAAAATGGACATATAGTATTATCAACCTGTGGGATTAATAGGAGATAAAAAGAGATATGTTAGGTAATATTGCTAGACTATGTCCAACACCTTGTAAGGACTTAGTAAATATTGGCTGTTTGCATTTTAGATTAATAACTTAAAGTTATGTCCAGTTGTGCATGTCCATACTGGTCTTGTAGTCATGTCTTAGGCCAGACTCCCTATTTGGTTCTCAAAACAGGGTCTTGCTATAAGGTCTCACTACCGAGAACCTCCTGCCTCAGCCTCCTAAGTACAGGGACTACAGGTATGCACAGCCAGCCCAGGCTTAGTCTGGACTTTCATTTGCAAGTGGCAGAAAGCTGATGTGAATCAGTATAATGAACCCAGGGGAATGTGGTCAGTCTCCTGACCTGAAGGGAGGCCAAACCTCCCTTCCTCACTTAGTGAAGGGATTTGTTCTTTGTGGGAAGAACATGGCTGCCAACAGTAATGGTGTTTGGCATCTTATAAAAGAGACCTAATCGTGGAGGCCGGTGTCTTCTCTCATAGAAGGAGAAGCAAGAGGAAAAGGAGGAGTCGTCATCATCTGGAAGTCAGAAGTCCAGGGCTGGGATGGCTGCTCTATGGTTGCTAAGTGGGCACAGGCCTGTCTTAATGCTCTGCAATTTTGTCTTAGTGTTTATTTTTGGAGCAAGGTCTAACTATATGGCCCTTGCTGACCTAGAATGTACAGTGAAGCCAGATTACCTAGAACTTGTATGATTCTCCTGCCTCTGCTGGGATTATAGGCCCCTGTGCCCAGCTCGGCTTCATTGTTTTAAAGAAACGTTTTCAATTCTCTAGGTCACCTCCTAGTTTAGTATTGCTGCTGAAGTACCAGCCATCTCGTGTGAGTTTGAGCCTGGAAGGAGGTGGCAATTGTGAAAAATAAAGGATACAACTATCCCTTACTTGGATGCTGTTCCAAAAATTCCATGTACCCCTTGGGTATCCACAACTTGGTCACCTTGACTGCTAGGGCAGCTGGGAAATGTAGTCTTTATTCATGATGACAACCTGCTCAGCTGCAGTGGGTGTTCTCTCACTAAAAGCAAGGAGTGAATAGATGACAATAAGTAGCCAGCAGTCTTAGCCATAGCTTCTACGTTGCCGCAAGTCTCTTGGCATAGAGAGGGAGGGGGGACATTTGCAGGTTCTACTTAGATGACTGCATCTGAAAAAAAAAATCAGCTACTCTTAAAAGCAGGAGTCATTATCATTAGTCATGAATGACTTAAATGTGTGGAGTTCATCCAAAAACAACTACTGGCTGCTATTGTCTAGGCATTGTGCTAGACCCAAAGGGTTTAATGATGTGCAAAAATACATGGCTGGTCCATTTTATGGAGCTTTCCATCTAGTAGGGGAAGAGAGGGGGTAACTGAATAAGTCTCCAATTCTTGGGAAATAATGGTGCTGGTGGGTGTAGCACAACAGTGGCCTTTGGCTCCTGAGATTGCCTGATCCGCTTGGCAACCATCCAAGCACACCATACCTCACACAGCTGTAAACCTCAGGATTGTATTACTTATTCCTGGAGGCTGAGAAGACCAAGAGCAGGATGCCTTTGCATCACCCACCTCCGCTGGCTTTCACTGGCCATGCTGAAAACTTAGCACTTGATGAATGGAGGCAGAGGGTTGGGATATCAAGACTAGCCTTGACTGCATATAGAGTTT